TGTGTCTCTCCTCCTCTCTGTATATCTGACTTTGCAATAAAAATAAATAAATCTTTAAAACAAGAAGTCTTCCAGATCTCTGGGGTTGCCTTCCCTTTCCAGACATGGTGGTCTGTAAAGATGACTAGACTGTGTTTGTAAAGCCCTATATTGCATTATGGAGTTATTTGACATGTACAAAAGATGACTTTTAAAAACATCCCTACCTCATGAGGTGGTTGAGAGAATTAAGTGGATCTTTTAATTCATCTGAAATTGGGTGTTTTGAAGCACACAAAACAATCCTGCACCTTTACTGAGTGTGGGCTGCTGTTACTGTCAACACCATCATCATCGTCATGGTCATGATTTTCATTGAAAAAGAATTTTCTGCTGTATGAAGATGTCTTTTCGTTTTATACTAAACTGCAATCCTTGTTTCATTGAAGAGTTCATCTTTCGTTCACCTGCTGTTGTTGGGGAAGCTACCGGAAGCAGAGTAGCTTGGAAGGCTCTCTTTAAGGAGATGGCATTTGAGGTGTCCTTTTTTTTTTTTTTTTTAGGATGTATTCATTTATTTGAAAGGCAGCGTTGGAAGTAAGGGTAAGGAGAGACAGAGAACCTGTCATCCAGTAGCTTATTGTTTCAGTGGTTGTAATGTCCAGGGCTGAGTGAGGCTGAAGCCAGAAGCCACAGGCCCCATTCAGGCTCCCCTATGGGTGGCAGGGGCCCAGGTACTTGGGCCACCCTGTGCTATTCTCCCGAACCACCAGCAGGGCGCTGGGTTAGAAATGGAGCAACTGGGACAAGAACTGGCGTACACATGGCCTGCTGGCATTGCAGCCGCAGCCCAACCCTGCAACACCGCAGTGCCAGGTCCTTGAGAACGTTTTGAAGAAGCCAAGAATATATCTGCAGGAAACATAGTCCAAAGGGGAAACGGAGATAGACTGAGCTGGGAGCGGGTGTGTCTTTTGCAGAAACAAGGTGACTTGGTGTGGAGTGAAGCAGGGCCAGGAGACCTGGGCTAGGGCATCAACTTTCCATTTCTTCTGTGGGAGTTGGGAAGTTGCTGAGCTGGGCTGTGATTGGTGTGTGTAGAAATCAGATGACTTGGGGGCTGGGGGAAAGCAAGGGGAACACCGAAAAGGCTGTCACAGTGATCTGTGTGGAAGATGCTGTTGATGTGGGCTGGCCTAGAAGCAGAGGGTGGCTGCTCTGATTTAAATGCTGCGGTATCTACAGTGAACATTTGCATGGTGCAGGCTGAAGCAAGGGGCTTTGGTAAGGGGAGGAGCAAAGGATGAGTGGAGGACATGTGATGTGTTTTCCTTAACTTGGGCAACTGGGGCACATGGAGTTAACACAGAGGACTACGGTGGGAGAGATTTGAAGGAGGGGAGCCTGTGGTCCGGCTTGGGATTTGTTAAATTTGAGATGCCTGTTAGACTTCCAGCAGGATCTGTGTAAGATAGGCGTTTTTCTACATTGTCTAGATTCCGTTTCCCATCTGTGTTATTCCTGACCCATTTTTAGGAAGGAATCAGTTATTTAGCAGGCAGGGTGGGGAGTGGAAACACATAATAAAAATTTCCACAAAGCAAGTAGTAGATTTGCTTTCTGAATTCTTATTTGTGTATATACACACACGTAGATGCTACTATATATGATCTCTATGTATCTCATTATCATATGTATTTATGTTAATTGGAAGATGAAAATTATTTTTACTCCTTTCAGGAAAAATTTATCAAGAATTTTATAGTGGTGGTAGTGACAGAGACTTAAATAGTAGATTGTGATGGCAGCTTCTGATTATAAATAAATGCTTAGTGATTCAAAAGCTTGGAAAATAATAGTGGCACACGACTTACTGATTAAGTGTTAAGATATTTGTAAACAGTTATTTAGTTCATATATGGATGTTTAAATGATCTAAGTAGCATCTTAAATATAATATCAACTTGGTAACAAGAAGAAAGGAGATCTCTATCACCCCAAAAGAAACTGATATTAAGGAAATAGGATTTCTTGTGTGTTTAGTTGGGAGTATTTTATATTTACTGGATAACTCCATAAATCACCTCTTTTTGGCTGTAAATATGAAGCTAGATTTCACAAAATTGTTTCTCATGGCAGGAAACTAACCTTATAGTTCATTCACTTTTCTTTTTAGAAAGGATCTACTTCTGTCTTTGAAAGGCAGAGTTACAGAAAGAGCAGAAGTGACAGAGAGATGAAGAGATCTTCTACCTGCTGGTTCACTCCCCAAGCAGCTGCAATGGCCAAAGCTCGGCTGGTCTGAACCTGTGAGCCGGGAACTTCCTCTGGATCTCCCGCATGGGTGCAGGGGCCCAAGCAGCTGGCCATCCTCCGCTGTTTTCCGGGCCCATAAAAGCGAGCTGGATCAGAAGTGCAGCAGCTGGATTCAAACCAGTGATCCTAAGAGATGCTAGCATCTCAGACCGCGGCTTTGCAAGCTGGCTGCCATTCATTTTTTTTTTCTTTTAGAGCTTCCCAGTGTGTTCTTCAAAATTGTGTACTAGAGGCTCTTCAGTGTTTTCTGTCAACGTTTGTAGAACGTAAAGCCAAAGTCTGATTTTGATATTAGAGGTTGTATCCTCAGGCAGTGTGATTTGAAGGCAAGTATAAATGACTTTCAGAAAACAAAGGGAATCCATATGCCTGACTGTGTTTAACTTCTTGTTCTTTTTTTTTTTCCTTTCCCTTTACCATGGAACGTGGAGGCCTACTGTAATTGGTGGGTACTTAGATTCATTACCGTACCCATCAGTGCCCCAGTAAGGTCACGGTTCCTTCCTGATTGCTTGTTGAGATTCTACCTTGGATATGTGTTTTGAGAGGAATGCCAAGCTATTTCCGTTTTAGCCAAGTGCATAGAATTAATAGTGGGGACCTGCATCTCCATATGGAATCTCTTTCAATTACAGACTGCTAGTATTAGAAAACATTTTTTTTTTAAAAATGGTGTTTGATGCTGCCATCGATCACATAGTAGAAATTGAAGTAAATTTAATTGTGGGCCCAGTCTACACATTTTTTTTTTCTGGTTTGGTTAAATGAGACTTAAATGAGCCAATGCAGTGAGTCTGTGAGTCGGTAGCAGCATGAGTCTTTTTCACATGTGGCCTCATAACAGTGTTTGTCTGAAATGTATTGGAGGAAGAGAGGGCGAGAGAAGGTGAGAAACAGAGACAGAAACAGAGACGACTTATGGGTTACTCTTCAGATGCTCACAGTGACCGATACTATGGCAGCTGAAGTCAGAAGCCAAGGACTCAAGCCAGATTTTTCACATTTGCCACATGGGTGGCAGGGACCCAACTACGAGAGCCGTCAGCTGCTGCCTTCTGCAGTCTGCACTGGCAGGGCGCTGGAGACAGGAGCCAAAGCCAAGGATTGAAACCAGAACATCGGAAATGGGACTTTTGTCAGCTGTTAGACCAAATGTCTGCCTCTCCTTCGTAATATTTCTGAAAAGGTAGAACATAATAGTGCATCCATTTTTGCAGCAAGTGGTCTTAATGATTGGTTCAGGAACTCTGGAAGTTCTGGATCAGATGCCTCTGTAACTTGATTCACTGGATGGGTACACGTGACTTCTTTTCAGAGAGCATTTTGCACAGCTTTGTGGTTATGTGGCTAAGGGACTGGTCGTGGAAGATTGCATTGTTGCTCTCTGTCGATGGAAAAAAGAAGACACATCGACCTCAAAATAGAAATTTGGCAATGAAAACTGAGAGGTACTAAGACTGTACCCCCAAAACAGGGCTCAAACTCACATGGGTAGGCTACTTCCGTGAGTGTGTCTGCTTATTGATGAATTCTGAAACCTGTTCCCAGTGTTGACTGTGTTGTCTGCGTCTGTGATGTTCTCACAGTAGTCGGAAGGAAGGAGTTTGTGGTGATGGTGATCAGAATGGTGGGATTGGGTCTGATGAGAGTTCTGCTAGTTTTTTATGGTGGTTGTAATGAAATAGCATAAACAAGATAAAATAGCAAAATTTAGTTTTGTCAAGAGTTTGGGGCTCAGTTGTTCAAAATCAAGAAGTTGGCATGTTCATGCTCCTCCTGAAGTCTATGGGGGACAGATTTCTCCCCTACTTTTCCAGCTTCTGATGATTGTCAGCAATCCTGGGCACAACTTGGTAGACAGAGTTGTCTCTCAGGTCCCTCCTCCCCTCTTCATATGGCTCATATCCGTGTGTGTCTACCTTTCTGTATCGTTGGGGCTGGAGCTGGGATGATGGTCATGATGGTCCTGAAGGTAACTACTGAGGGTGTTCATGTCCATGGTGGTGATGCAATGGGGCTAGTGCCATGGCAAGGTGACCAGCTGAGGGTTAGGCATGGTAGATTCCTGGGTTGACTGACTGCAAGATGTTTTCCTCCAGTGCGACCCCCCCTGCCTCCCACCATGGGTCCTAATGTCTCAGGGTGAGGCAGTTTGTAACACAGTGTCATGGAGCACAGATCTGTGACCACTCACGTACTAATTGGCTTAGTAGTTTTCAGTTTGAATACTTGGGGATATTTGCACATACTGGAAAATTTGGGGGAGTGAATTTAAAGGAGGTAAATTAAGTAAGAGAGAATTCCAAGTGGTTGTGACTATGCTCTAAGGAGTGCCTTCAGGGGTTCATACAGCTCCTTGCAGACTTCCATTCACTTAGTTGAAGCTTGTTACCTTGCTCACTACTGTGGGGATGCACAAGGGCCATACCCAAGGAGAACAGGGCTTTGGCCAAATGAATCCACACATTTGTAGGAAGGGTCTTGTACCTACTCCCTTGGAGCCACCTGGCCCAGGGCTCCATCTTACAAAACATGCACTTGATTGTAGCAGAAATGTTTTATTGCACATTGATCCTAATTTGGCTGAAACCTTATGAATGGTTCTTGCCACTTGAGTCACTGTGCCGTAATGAAGAATGGCTTACCGGCAATGACTTAAAAGCTCTTAGAGAGGTGAGAGGAGGGAGAGTTGGTTGTATCCACAGGATGCCACTGCAGTTGCTTCCGTTTTAAGGAAGGGAGGCAAGACTTATATCTCCAAAGCACCATTATGTTCTGAGAGGGCAATAAAATATTTAAGTCCAAGGCACTTGTAATCAAATTAGCAAAGAGGCAATAAAATCCTTAAAGAAAAGATGCAGAAGTCGTTTGTATACTGTGCACACAATTCTCTTCCCCTTAGGTCTTGCATGAAACCTTGCATGCTTTTAGTGGTGTTGTTGACTGGGCCTGAAATTGTGTCTGTTCTTCCCCTTGCTCTGCAAATACATTCAAAAGATGACCTCTGTGCTGTGTATACTTAGAAACCCCTGTTCTGAAATGTCTTAAAATAGACAAAACTCCTCATTAGTGGGCTAAATGAGTAATTCTGTGCCCAAAAGGAATTCTGTCCCATGAGCATTTTAGAGGTCAAAATTTGCTCTGGACTTATGCAGGAAGATTTGGAGACAGGTTATAACCTGTGGGCCACTTACATATAGTTGGTCCTTCTTGCATGTTCTCCCATAGTCTGCATGTGAGATGTGCCTTTTCTGTTCCCAGTTCTGGCTCTCAGTGATGAAGAAGCAGAAAACCACCCTGAGTGGGAAGATGTTTGGAAAATGGCACAAAAACCTGATCCTTTCAATAGCGATGTCCTCATCTTGGACCCTGATAGGCTAAGAGTCCTGAGGACTCAGCAAAGGGCTTTGAAAAACTGGATCACCTTTCATTCTAAGCTGAATAACATGCATTAAAGATAATCTATAAAGGGGCTGCCGCTAAGGCATAGTGCTGGAATCCCCTAGGCGCATCAGGTCTAGTCCCAGGTGCTCCACTTCCGATCTAGCTCCTTTATTGATGTGCTTGGGAAAGCAGAGGAGGATAGCCCTGGTTATTGGGCCCCTGCCGCCCATGAGGGAGACTTGGAGGAAGCTGTTAGCTTCTGGCCTATCCCAGCTCTGGACATTGCTACCATTTGGGAAGTGAACCACCAGATGGAGGATCTCACTGTCTCTCACTCTGTAACTCTGTTGCCTTTCAAATAAATAAAATAAAACTTTCAATAAGGTTTATTTATTTTTTCTGGGGATGGCAAAAGAGACAAAGAGAAAGGTCTTCCTTCTGCTGGTTCACTCCCCAAGTGGCCGCAATGACCAGAGCTGAGCAGATCTGAAGCCGAGAGGCAAACGCTTCTTTCATAAAGGTACAGGATCCTAGGACTTTGGACCATCCTTCTCTGCTTTCCCTGGCCACAAACAGGGAACTGGATAGGAAAGTGGAGCAGCTAGAACATGAACCAGCATCCCTATGGAATCCCCGTTCCAAGATGAGGATTTAGCCATTGGGCCATCGCATCAGGTCCCAATAAAATAATTCTTTAAAGATCATCTGTGGAAAGCCCTACAATATTCTGCTTTGAATTGTTAAATAATTCGGTGATGAAAATAATTAGACCAGAGGAGAACCCTGCAGTGTCACATCTCTGCAAAAGCAGCCTTTGTTCTGCTTGGCTGGTGCTGACCTGCAATGCTGTGTGAACTCCACATACACTAGGTTCCCTGGGGGAGAATAGGTGCGCACAGCCAACCTTTTGCTTCACACTCTGCGTTTTCCCTGTAAAGTTTCTTCTTCAAACACAGCCATACTACTTGGTGGAAATTATCCTTAAAATACATGGAAGTTTGTTCCAGCAAGTATTTAAAAATAAAGTCTTTCTTGTTAAAAATGGGTTGCTAGAGTTATAACTGCTTCTTTTTGTCAGTTTGGTTCAGGCCAAATGTCTTATTTCTGAGTCTTATTTCAAACATCTTTATCAGCGAAGCCTCTGAATGATTTCGTCATTTGGCCAAATAATCACAAATTGTCCCAGTTTGCCAACTGCAGAAGGCACTTATTCTTTGATTGGATAATAAATGTTTAAAATGGCATTTCCAGGTAAAGCATCACTTGTAGATTGGCAGCTTGCTGGGGTGCAATTCCAAGGAGTCCACGAGCCACCTCTGTCCCTTTGTCTCTGTCCCTTGGGTATCATAGTAGGCCCAGGAACTCACCTTTCAGCAGCAATTGACCCTCAAAGTAGCAGTGCCCTTTCCGTAGTATTGCTCTTGGGTGATTTGAGACCTGAGGTGGTTGAGAGCTGAGAAGGCTGCTATATCCTATATAGGCACTTGCTCATGTCCCAGCTGCTCCACTTTCCACCTGCCTCTCTGCTAATGGCTGGAGAAAAGCATCGGGATAGATAACTCAAGCATTTGGGCCCTGCCACCCATGTGGTGGTCCTGAAAGAAACTTTTGTATTTTTCTGACTTAATCCTGGCTTTTGTAGCCAATCTGGAGAGTGAGCCACTGGATGGAAGATCTCTCTCCTCTCTCTCTCTCTCTTTTTTTCTCTGCATCACACATTAAGGGTTTGGGTTGACTCCTAAATCAACATTTCTACTAATGGCAAACCCTGGCATGACACAGCGACTGTCTGAGTAATTGGGTCTTTGTCACCACAGAGGAGAAACTCGTTACATCTCTGCTTTCAGTTTCTGCTTGGCCCACTCCTTGCCACTGTGGGCATTAATAACACAAATAATAAGACTTATTCTTTCTGTTGCTCAGCCTTTAAACAAACATATAAACCAACAGGCAAAGCAGAAAAATAGAACAATCTCCGAAATTGTGTTTATCGGAAAAGAAAAATGTTGGCATTTTCTTTCATTTTCCTTTTGTTTTCTTTCTTTACTTTCTCTGTTTTGTTCTGGGCTCTTGGTGGAAGTATATGTGCTCATGAGTATATTTGGTGCTGCCTGAGTATGTTTTTACATGTAGAGTATTGTTATGTACTAATTGCTCCCAAATCTTTATTCCTTTGTGTTCTAAAAAGGAGAGTAAAATGCTGTGAGAATGTACAAGACTGGATGACTCAGAAATGCTTTTAATCAGTGGCATTTATGGTGAGCTGCTGAGATTGAGACCTGTTGTTCTCATCAGAGTGGGGAGACGAAGCCTCAAATGGAGGGACTCACGGATAGAAAGACTCAAGGAGGAAGGAGACCTCAGCTCTGTCCGATGGGTTAAAGAACAATGGGGCCGAGGCATGGAGGAGACCCAGGTCACAGGATAGGAGCTTGGCAGGATCCAAGCCACTGAAGAGTCTGGGAACTGCCCTTCTCCCATTAGTGTGGAGAGCTGGGCCACTGCAGGCAGAGAGACCTGCTGTAAACACTTGGGCAAGCAAATGAATGTCTCTAAGTCTTCATTCCCAAATACTTAAAATGGAGATGATTGCTGGTGATGTCTGAGGAGGTTGCAGATCAGACAACATGTGCCAAGCAGTGAGGAGATGCAAGCCAACGCAAGCCAACGGTGATCAAATTCATGGTTGAATTTGTTCCAGGTACATGGAGATAGTAACCAAGGGCTTGTTCTAGAAAGGTGTTTTAGCAGAATCTGCAGCAGAGCTACTAGTAACTAAGCAGTGAAACCTGAGGTTTTCCTCGTCACCACCTTGGAATAATGAACCAAGGGCTCTGTGTTATCAAGCAGAGCCAAGTGCCAGAATTTATCTATGTATCTATCTATCTATCTATCTATCTATCTATCTATCTATCTATCTATCTATCTATTTTAGGATTCTAACATCCTGAGGCTTTCGCAGGCCTCCTTACCTTGCACCCCACTCTCAGCACTTTTGAAGCAAAGCTGACTAGTATGGATTGTATGATAAACAGTCACAGCAATTATGAACTTCATCTTTCCTTTGTCCAGAAGGGAGACCATGCTTATTCTCTAGTGAAATCTTTATGTGAAGAGAAACATTGGTATGATGTTTAAAAGATGCTGAAAATCTATTGCCCATTTGGCAAAGGAGGCTGAAAATCTGCAAACTGGTACAGTTACTGAGAACATGATGTGGAGAACAAGGGGAAGAGGGTGAGCGGAGGGGAAACCCCAATACCTATTAAACTGTGTCATAAAATAAAATTAAAAAAAAACATCATGTGCCACTACAACAGCATTGGCACCTGTCCCAGTTGCTTCAGACATGGAGATGCATAAGGACCATCTCCTGATTCTGGTCCAAAGCCTTGGGAACCTGCATGGGAGACGCAGAAGAGGCTCTGGGCTACTGGCTTCGGATTGGCTCACCTCCAGCCATTGCGCCCACTTGGGGAGGAATCAACAGATGAAGATCTTCCTTTCTGTCTCTCCTCCTCTCTGTATATCTAAATAAATATTTAAAAAAAGTGGGTTCCTCTGGTTTGTAAAGTTCTCAAACATAACAATTCTAGTTTGTGTTTTTATGGTGAGCTTTGGTAATAAAAAAATAAAAAGCAGTTACAAATAAAATCCTTCATTTTTTCTTCAGACCATTCTTCCTGAAATTTCCTATTTATATTCAAAATTCTAAACTCCAAGGCCCAGTCCCATGTGAATCCCCAACATAGAATGTGGCAGATGTTATAAGAACTAAAATTTCAGACTCAGTGCGATAGTGTTGCAGCTGAAGTCCTCACCTTGAGCGTAACGGGATCTCATGTGGGCGCTGGTTCTAATCCTGGCAGCTCCACTTCCCATCCAGCTCCCTGCTTCTGGCCTGGGAAAGCAGTTGAGGACAGCCCAAAGCCTTGGGACCCTGCACCTATGTGGGAGACCTGGAAGAAGCTCCTGACTCCTGGCTTCGGATTGGCTCAGCTCCAGCTGTTGTGGCTACTTGGGGAGTGAATCAATGGACAGAAGATCTTCCTCTTTGTCTCTCCTTCTCTCTGTATATCTGCCTTTCCAATAAAAATAAATAAATCTTTAAAAAGAGAACAAAAATCTCTCTGCTGATGTAGGTGGCATCTGAATCCCCAGGGGCTATTTCAAAATGTGATTTGTTCTTGAGACACTTTTGAATTTTGATTCTTACTTTGGTCACTTACAAGGAATCAGTTGGTTTCAGTCATCTAAAATAGTGTCTTCCTTAACTCATATATGAAGTATGTGATGATTCAAGTTAGATATAGAAGTACTTTTAATATTGAA